TCCACTCTTTTTTTTTTTTTTTTTTTTTTTGAGACGGAGTCTTGCTCTGTCACCCAGGATGGAGTGCAGTGGCGAGATCTCAGCTCACTGCAAGCTCCGCCTCCCTGGTTCATGCCATTCTCCTGCCTCAACCTCCCGAGTAGCTGGGACTACAGGCGCCCACCACCACGCCTGGCTAATTTTTTGTATTTTTAGTAGAGACGGGGTTTTGCCATGTTAGCCAGGATGGCCTCAATCTCCTGACCTGGTGGTCCGCCCGCCTCAGCCTCCCAAAGTGCTGGGATTACAGGCATGAGCCACAGTGCCCTGCCCCAATCCACTCTTTTATCCCACTTAAAAGGAACTTGAGAAAACAAAAGAATATGGTTTCTTCTGTACAGAGCTTGGCAAAACTTGAGCAGAGACTGTGTGTGTCTACCTTGTGGTCTTCAGTTCCTAAGTTAATTCCTTTTCTTATCTTTTGCAACCAGGAAATTATTTCCTCCCATCAAACTTCTCTCTTCTTTTAGCTCTCTGCCTCCTGCAGAAGCACTGAACACCTCGGCATATAAAAGACTACAAAGTCTCTCCTGTCTCCCTAGTACATATATTTAACATGTAGTCCAGCTAATTATAGTTGGACTTAAAATCAGTATTGTAAGTCTGGGGCTTGACTCCAGAGACAGTGCCAGGCATAGCTGGGCTCAAAGGCTGTTTGTTGACTGGGAGAATAGATAATGCTGCCTATTTGTTTCTGCTACTTCTGCCAGTGACCAGCTGTGGGGATTTGACCAAGTCATTTAATATATTCACCTCTGTCACTTTCCACACCCTGCCTTGTGGATTATGGTCACCTTCAGAGGGACTATTCTTCCTGTATGACCTGCAGGCCTAGCCAAGTCCGGGCAGGGAGCAAGGACTCGCCCACACTTGAGGTCATGACTGCATTTGGTCAAAATTACCTCTTCTCTCAACATCTGCAGTCAGCTCTGGGGTCATTTACAGATAAGCAAACACATAAGCATGCTGGAAGTTTTATTCTCACCTGGTTAAGACTTCAGGCTCTGAAACCAGAAGATTGCCTTGGTTTGAGTCCTTGCTCTGACACTTTTAGCTGGGAGTCTTTTGGCAAGTTACTTAACTTCTTTGAGCTTCAGTCTCATCTGCAAAATGAGGTAACATAGGAAAAGCACTTAGAACTTTCCCACGCACATAGTAAGTGGTCAGTGAAGACAAGCTATTACCTGCAACAGAAAGTTTAGGAAGAGAGACTTTAGGCAGCAGCAATTTCTGTTCCAAGTCTCTTGATGCCTTCATTTTTTTACGGTTGAGAGTTCTGAAATATGAAAGGGCTTCCAGACACCCATTCCTCTGGGCACTATTCTGGGTTTCAGATTCTTATCTCGCTCAGCTTTTGGGTCAGAGAGGAGTAAAGGATGTCAGGGATCACAAACTGGCAGCCAGTGAGCTGCATGGGGCCCCTGGACATGCTGGGCTTGGCTCTTTTCATTTGAATTAATAACCAATATTAAAATTTACATTCAAGATTTCACTTAGTACTTCCAGCTTTTCTTGAAAGATTTAACTGGGCTGGGACCTCATCTGTACATGGTGCCCACCAGCTAACAGCCCTTTTGGGTGTGCCTTGGGCCTTCAGTGCTGTCGCCCACCCTCACTTGGCTCCTGTGCTGTAGGCATCTGAGTGTGGCACCCTCTCAGAAACAGCTGTCCTAAGCTGCTTAAGGGCCAGGACAAGACTCAGGGGTAGGCTGCTCCTGGAGAAAGTATGGCTCAAGAGAGAGGGGTCCCAGCGAAGTTGCTTCTGCCTTGTTCCTGCAGTCATCACCTTTTCTGCCCATGACCTTAGCAACCCAAAGAAGCTCCTGTAAGTAGACCAGGTGGATGGAGACTGGCCAACTCCCACTGTCACTCACCCCTCTTGGACTTCTACTCTTACACTCACCACCCTTCCCCCCTTAATCCCTCTGAAACACTAGACTATACCATCAGCTTCCTCTTTCTCCATCACCTCAGGCAGAAACTGACAGTTACCTGCCCCTCTCCCCTTAGCCATTAGATCAAGCCCAGGAAGACGGCAGCACCATCTTCCCTAAGTGCCAGGAAGGGACCGGAGCATAGTTAGTGCTTATTAAATAGTATCATGATAACATGACACATGTAAAACACTTAGCAATGCTCAATAAACTCTGGTCCCCTTCCTCCCCACTCCAGTCCCTTGTTTTCCCCCTTTTCTGTCCAACCTCTTCTAAGTCTCCAGTAACACCTTAAAACAGACCTGACAACTGCCAACCCCTTTTACAATTCTCTAATAGTTTCCTCCTGTCTGCAGAATAAAAGCCCCTTACAAACCGGGCCCAGGCTTCCCTCCGGCGGTATCAGGTCGCATCATCCTCAGTCCTGGTCAGAGGGAGCCGCTCCTTGCCGTCCTCCCTCTCTGCCTTTGCTTGGTCTCCCGCCTGGAATGCCATCTCCTCTTCTGCGCTTGCTTGAGGTTTCCGGTCCGCCCCTGCTCCAGGTGCCCCAGGACGACTGCCCTGGAGCCCTCGCCCTGTCCATTGCCCTATTTCTGTGAAACTTTCTATCGCGGTCTGTCGGGAGCGCCGGAAGCGGTTTCCCCGGAGAGCTCCGGTCCAAAGAGGACCAGTGATGTCTTTGGAACTTTCTGGAATGTCCTGACTCTCGCGGCCCCCTCTGCAGCGCAGGGAGCAGTGGGTCTAAAGTGAGCGCGCCTCCTGGAGCCCGGGGGCTACGGTTCAGACCGAGGATGCAGGGCTGGCTCTCGCCCCGTAGAGATCCCTGGAATAGAAGGAGCGCGGACAGTAGGCTGTGGTGCCTAAGCGATCGCCGCCGCTCGCAGGGGCTTGTAAATCGTGCCCTCTTTTGTCAGAGGGAAACTGAGGCCCAGAGCAGACAGTGCCTCCGCTAAGGGTTACTTAGGTGAGTGGCGCGCTCAGGCTTCGGCCTCTGGCCCCCCAGGGGATGGCTGTGGCCAGTAGCAGCCGCGGTCCCCGCCGGGTTCCGGGTGGGCGGCGGAGCCCTCCTTGGCCCGGCCTGCTGGGAGGGGCGGGGCGCGAGGGGGCGGAGGCGAGGGCTCGGGCGGGGCAGACACAGGTGCTCCGCATCCGGCCGGGGGGCGGCTCCGAGGAGCGGCTCGGAGGAGCTTCATAAGCTGCCGGGGTGTTGGGCTGCGCGCGGCTCGCTGCAAAAATAGTGCCCACGTGCGTGCGCGTCTCTCGCCCGCCGCCTGGCCGGCCAGCCCGTCAGCCCCGCAGGGCCACACCGGCCCCATGGCGTTCCCACTGGTAAGAGCCGCCCGCCGCTTGCCTGGGCGGGGCCGCGTCCCGGCCGCACTAGCTAACGGTCCGCGCGCAGCCGGGTCCGGTGCCGCGGTACACCCATCCCCCGCCCCGTGCGCGCGAGTCCCGGGCGGGGCGCGGTCACGTGCCCGCGGGCGTGGGGCCTCGTGGAGGGGTGGAGGGCGAGGGGGGCAGGGAGCCTCCTCGTGACTCAGGGCCTTTGGGCTTAAAGGCGCCGCAGCCCTGGGGGCGGCCGGTGGGGCCTCCAAGCCGCACTGCGGCCTCTGGGCGGTCTCGAGCGTTACGTCCAGACGGGAGCTGACCGGACATAAAGGAGCACCGGCGCCCGGAACGTTTCTTTCTCACACTGCCGTCGCACTGGAGACCCGAAGCTGGGGACGCTGGAAGCTCACCCCCTCTGCGGGTCTCTTTCGCACCCGGCGCGCGGTGGGGGGGCCCGGGCGGGATGGGGCGGGGCTAGTGACTACGTAGACTCGGTGTTCCGTGGATAGCCCCACGACGGCGGCGGTCTGGGCCCCTTTAAGGTGTAGGGATCAAGCCCCTCGTGCGGCTTCCCAATCCCGGGCAGGTCACGTGGCTTCACACCTTCGCTTGGCGCCCGAGAGGGCGTCCTGAGGGCGGGGCTGACCAGGTAGTGTGGCGCGAGGGCGGAAGACTGGCGGGGCTCCGAGCCCGGGAGACCCGCGGGGTTGGCGGCTTTGAGGTGGGTCCTGGGGCATGGGTGGGAGAGGGGTAGGGTTGCAGGCTGCGGAGATGGCACAGGCGGGGAGCGACCAGAGCCCGCTCTGGGCTGTGCTGTCGGGACCGTCAGCCTGGCGAGCGGGTGCATGCGGCCTCGCGTTCTGGTCATTCTCCTCAGTACAGGACGAGGTCAGGTGCCCAGACTCAGGGGCGGCCTCAGGTTTGGCGGAGCAGCGGCTGGGGCCCTGGACGGGTCGCTTCCCCGATGACGAGCTGGTTGGGCAGACCAGTGCCCGCCTGGAGTCACCCAGGAGTGGGGGGGACTCACCCACAAAGGGGCCCTCACCTTGGGGTGTCCCACCCGGCGTCGTTCCCCGGAGCTTTTTCATCTCTCGTGGGTTCCTCATAGCTTGAGACGACCGAGGCTTTGCTGCCTCATTCCTAGGGGACCCAGGGAGGCCAGAAGGCCCTGTGAGCGGCGCCGCGCTGACCCCGTGACCGAGAAAAGGCAGGCGGACCCCTGGGCTCTTGGGTGCCTTCGTGGGCGGGCGCTTATTTTTCGGGGGGCATTTTGCTACCTGCAGCCCTGGTCCCTTGCACTGTGCTCTCAGCTGGGGTTCCTTCCATGGGGAAGAGAGTCGGGAGCCGAATTCGCTCTCAGAAGCCGGGGTGCCTCCCGCCAGGCCCTCCTGGGAGGAGGCCGCGTCCCTCCTCCCCCGCCCCGCGCCTGCAGCCCCGGCCCTGACTGATGCCGCATTTCTCTGGCAACCGCTTCCCTTGGTCTCCCTGGCTACCGCCCTGCCTCCCCGCGCTCTCTCCTGGCACCTGAGTCAACTACTGGGCTGTGTCGTTGGTGGGGAAGAGGGGCAAGTGGGTGGGGTTCCTATTCTGGTAGGCACAGGTGCACTGCCCGCCTCTTGCCTGCCCCTCAGGTGACGGTGCGGTCCCTTGCCAGCCGTAAGTGTCTGCTAAGGACAGTTTGCACCCTGAAGCTCATGTTCCCTTTGAGTCTAGGGACACATGCTGGGTTTAAAAATAAAAATATATTCGAACAGGACCCAACCTTGGAAACCTCAAGTCGGTGATTGTTTTCCTGGTTGTTTTTTTGCATAGTTAGAAAAGCCTGTGGAACTCAGTGGGGCTATTGGGTGTCCGAAAACCCTGGGGACGGTGTTTTGGGGACTTATCACTGGTCTTTTATTTGGCCTCATTGAGCACATGGAGCTTGTGGCCGAACTGTATTCCCAGAGCACGTTGCTGTAGAGTTTGGTTATTTATTTATTTATTTATTTATTTATTTTTGAGACGGAGTCTTGCCCTGTCACACAGGCTAGAATGCAGTGGTGTGATCTCGGCTCACTGCAACCTCCGCCTCCCGGTTCAAGCGATTCTCCTGCCTCAGTCTCCTGTGTGGCTGGGATTACAAGCACGCACCACCATGCCTGGCTAATTTTTGTATTTTTAGTAGAGACAGGGTTTCACCATGTTGGTCAGGCTGGTCTCGAGCTGCTGACCTCGTGATCTGCCCGCGTCGGCCTCTGAAAGTGCTGGGATTACAGGTGTGAGCCACATCGCCTGGCCCAGTTTCGCTTTTTAAATTTTTTGTCAGAGCGATTTAAACTTTGGGTGGCCTGGCAGTGCCTGCTCAGTTTATAGAAGTAGAATTTGGAAGTTGACTACTCCGTATGTAAGTCAACCTTTGTAATAAAAAAGTATGGCTGGGCGCCATGACTCACGCCTGTACTCCCAGCAGTTTGGGAGGCCGAGGCGTGCAGATCACCTGAGGTCAGGAGTTCAAGACCAGCCTGGCCAACAAGGTGAAATCCCGTCTCTCCTAAAAATACAAAAATCAGCCAGGCGTGGTGGTGGGCGCCTGCAATCCAAGCTACTCGGGAGGCTGAGGCAGGAGAATCGCTTAAACCCAGGAAGTGGAAGTTGCAGTGAACCGAGATCGTCCACTGCACTCCAGCCTGGGCGACAGATTGAGACTCCGTCTCAAAAAAAAACAAAACAAAACTCGGCTTCCCTCCTCTGAAGGGTTTGTCTTGTAAACAACTCCGTGGTCTAAGCTCCCATGTGTGGGAGGGAGGTTGTGCCAGCCTGTGCAGCACATCGGAGGTTGGAGAGCTGATGCTTGTGAATAATCATGGAAACGTTTGCAGTTTGGGTTAAGCCATAGGCGTTTGATACAGGAATGGTTCTATGGGCTTATTCTTTCACTGTAGTGCACAAACCAGTGCCCATGAAGCAAAAAGTGGAGGAGGAAGATAAAGTAGTAAGACTCCAGGCTCAGCACCAAACTTAACTAGTGAGCTAATGATAACAGCTGCCTTAATAAGCATTTTCACTGAACACAACCATTAATTTTATTCTTAGTCTTTAAAATGGGTTGCAAACTCAAACCCTACCGGGGCCAGAGGTAACATAAATGAGCAAAGGAGGAGGAAGGAAAAGTAATGGCTTCTGAACTGCAGAGTATATGCCTCTCTGAATGGAGCAGCCGCTAGCTGATTGTTGCCCAGCAAAACTGTGGGCCCAGAGTTGGTGTATCTTTGACTTGCTTCTAAACTGGCTGTCTCTGTTTTGATGGATCTCCTGACTTTTAAATGTAGCATTAAAAAAATTTTAAATGCTATGGATCAAATGTAACAGGTCTTTAATGTTGGATTCAACCTGAAGGCTAGTTTGGAATCTGTCTTAAAACATCCCTTTTGGATTTCCCCGCTATTTTGCAGAAAAGGAAACAGGCTTAGAAATCAAGTCTCAAGGCTGTTAAGTGGTGGAATTTAGTGTGAACCTAGGTCTTTCTGGTGCCATAGTCCAGCGTATTATGTGTGTTCTGTTATGTCAGAGAATCAAGGGGTTATTGGTGGCATACATTGTAGAAAAAAGGTAGTGGTCTGGGAGCTGGTCACATTTATAGGCAAAGTGAACCTTAACCGCATTGGCAGGAATCCCAGTTGCTGTAGAAGTCAGTGTGGGTCTTCTGAGTGTTAGTACAGCAGTGCTGATGTCAGAAGGAATGTGCTGTGTCTATCATTCCACAATGTATGTCAGAGCAGTTAGCTGATCCTGAGAGCCGGAGGTCTGGAGATGGCAGGCTCCTCCCACTGTGGGAGTGACCCTCCCAACCCTCTGCACAAAAGACTCTTTTCAGGACAGTTAAAATTTCAGTAACTTTTTCTGTCTGAGGCAAGGCAAATTTGAAATTACAGAATTGTTTTAAGACCCGTGAAAGTAAAATGGAGCTTATTAAATCTCACTTTGTCTGTCTTAGCTAAGATTCCCGTAATGCTGTCTCTCAGATTTCCAGGAAGAATTAATAAAGGTTAAAAAATTTTTTAAAAGCAGTATGTGGTAAAATCTTCTGAGATAAGCTCCCAGGGCATAAAATAGCCTGGCCCCAGAAATGAGGGACTGGGGTTTCAATTCTGGATAAAACTTAGAATCCCAGCTTTGTACACAACCAAACTTACAGATGTAAAGGGGTATGTATATTTTTTTCCTATATTGCATTTCCAAGAATTTTTTTTTTTTTTTTTTTTTTTTTTGAGATGGAGACTCACTCTGTCACTCAGGCTGGAGTGCAGTGGCGCGATCTTGGCTCACTGCAACCTCCGCCTCTGGGGTTCAAGCAATTTTTCTGCCTCAGCCTCCCAAGTAACTGGGACTACAGGCACGCACCACCATGCCTGGCTAATTTTTGTATTTTTGGTGGAGGTGGGGTTTCAAAATATTGGCCAGGCTGGTCTTGAACTCCTGACCTTGTGATCTGCCTGCCTCGGCCTCCCAAAGTGCTGGGATTACAGGTGTGAGCCACTGTGCCTGGCTGCATTCTCAAGGATTTAAAGGAGTAAAAAGCGTATTCAGAGCTTCTGCCAAAGAATTTTTTTCTGTGAGAATGCAAGCTGGATAGCTTTTTTTCTGTGAGACACAAGCTAGATAGCCTTCTTACCTGTGTCCTGGAAAGTTTTTGGAAAGATGAAAACTTTAAAATGTTACTTGCTTCTAGCTGCTTCTTAGCAACCTTTACCAGCAAAGCACTCAGCTATGAGTTCAGTGTTTGTGGATTTGGGGGTGTGGAGTGTGCTGGGGAGGGGAAGAGTGAGGTGACTAAAGTAGCTTTCTGCTGGTATTATTTTTGCATTTATAATGTTAGGTGTTGTCTGTGCAAACTTTCTCATTCATTGGTTTCAGGTCCCTTAGCTAAATGATTATTTTCTAAAGTTATGTTTATTTTAAGGGAAAATTAGATTATTTGTACTTCTGTCTTACAGTTTGAGACAGAAATGGACACCAAACCTAAATATTAATGTTTAGACTGTTGTCTTTAGTAGCTAGTGGTGGAGGCAGTAAAAGAATCATAGGATCAAATAACAAATTATTTTTTCTGCTATGGAGAGGTTGTGCTAATCTCATCCTGTTCTGCAAATCTGCTTTCCCTAGGCAATATATAAACTGTACTGGCTCTGGGCAGAATTTGCCAGAAAGCCCCTGAGGCTAAAGGGTTGGAAGGAGTTTGCACCTAGAGGTTATGGTAGAGGAGGTTATGTAAAGAATTTTGCTTCTCGTTTGAATTAAGACCAAGAAGCACTGATTGCACCCTTTACCGTTTCTTAAGCCTTTTAAGATTTTATTTTTAAGATTGTTTTTGAAGGCGGGGCGCGGTGGCTCAAGCCTGTAATCCCAGCACTTTGGGAGGCCGAGACGGGTGGATCACAAGATCAGGAGATCGAGACCATCCTGGCTAATACGGTGAAACCCCGTCTCTACTAAAAAAAATACAAAAAACTAGCCGGGTGAGGTGGCAGGCGCCTGTAGTCCCAGCTACTCGGGAGGCTGAGGCAGGAGAATGGTGTAAACCTGGGAGGCGGAGCTTTGCAGTGAGCTGGGATCGGGCCACTGCACTCCAGCCTGGGCGACAGAGCGAGACTCCGTCTCAAAAAAAAAAAAAAAAAAAGATTGTTTTTGAGACAAGGTCTTACTCTGTCACCCAGGCCGGCGGGCAGTGGTGCAATCACA